TAACGAGATATGGCTAAAACACTCCTTGAATTCTGTACAATGATCATTTTATTTCATCAATTAGGTTCACATTAGGTCACGTTGATCTTTAAAAATAACATTAGGTACAAAAATCCCTTGCACCACAATACCTAGAAGTATTTATTTTACAAGATATCATAATAATTTGCAAACCAAACACAGTGGTTAAAGCAGCAGTGAGTTACAACCAGTTTTAAACAATGTGAAATAAAAATATAAATATATTTTTTATTCGTTATTCATGCAAAAATTGATAAAGAAAAAGTAAGGGAATTTATGCAAATTGTTGGGAAGTGCATATACTTGATCTAATAATTTTGATGATGAACTGTTATTCTATCATCAAAATAAAAACATGAAGATCAGCAGCAGAGGACAAATCAATAATCACATCACAACATCTTTATATTTATAATTGATAAATGCAACTATTTATGTTGCTTTTATAGGAATTTGTCGTAATAAGATATTCGCGACAATTGAAAATGTCATCAATATGGTTTCCATTTATTCAAGATCTAGAGTATATGCAATTATAGTCATATACTAGTGAATTGCTAATCACAAATGACCAAGAGCCCGCTTGGTAACCATTATTTTCAGCTTATCATATGATACTCATTATCATATCATACTCATTAGTAATTATTTTACGCGCTAAATTGTGTAATAATTAAAATAAATAAGGTTGAAGTTATTATTGTGGCTGAATTGATTGGAGTTACCATAGATGATTATTTACCCATTTTTTCATATAATTTTTTCTTTAATCTATTATTAAAATGCATTTAAATATAATTTTTCATAACTCAACAGATTCAACTGCTTCAATAGCATTTAATCCATTTCAGTGTTACCGGGCAAGCTCTAAATAATAATATACTTATTGAGGAACTTCTCAAATGAAAGAGGGGTTTAAAAGTAGAGGGAGCAAACCCGAAACCGTCGTGCACAATGAAGAAAAGAGCTTAGATTATATCTTCAAATTCAATTAGTATGGTCATAAGATTACACTCCCACAGTCCCTCATCGGCGATGCCATTTTCTTCATAAATTTATTGTGAGCCGATAGCCGTATAAGGATGCTAATATTCATTTTTTCATGCATTGATCATATTGTTGTTTAAATTTAGAAGTTCTTAAACATAAATAAAGAGTCTTTTAAAAAAACATAAATAAAGAGTTAAAGATGTACACTATGTTTAGAAGAATGAAGCTGAACCACAACTTATAAACATAAATAAAGAGTTACAGAGTTACAATTTTTTATTGACTGAATCTGATTTACAACCTCTCATATATATCATGTCAGGAGTGTGGGGCCCTTGGGTTGGACATTCAACCTTTTGGAGGAAATAAAGAGTTATAGATGTACACAATGTTTACAAGTTCTTAAACATAAATAAAGAGCAAAAGCGATGGAGAAAATGTATAGAACTCCAATATATATCTACTTTTGTTTTTTATAGTAGAAACAGTTTAAGAAGTAGATTAAACCCCCACATAACATGGTAACATAAGAAGTCTAAAATGGTAATAAAAAATTTCCACTATAATAATCGATTCATGACAAGCACCCGGATTACTTGTAAGTTACCAGTATATTTAATATTTTTTCTCTTAAACTTTAATAGTATCAATAAATTAATGACAAGGAATCCAGGTAGGATTACTCCACATACATTAGGCTCTTGTATGACACATTAATTGGGCAATTAATGAAAATTGCGACTTACAGAAAATAAAAAAGACAACCATGTCTAAGTGTGGCAGAATTGTCCATTTATGCAGCACTCATGGGACTTGAAAAAATGGTGTTCGTAGCGCCGCACGAATAAGATATGATGTTTTAGTTGCTCAAAAAATGGTACAAATTAATATTAGTCATTAATATTATTTGTAAAAACCATTTTGAAATGAATGAGAAATTGTTCTCCGAAAGATAAGCCTGAAATTATATTTAACACACACATACCGCCGCCGTCAGTCGATCGGGTCAGGTTCGAGTCTCCGGACATCTTCGTATGGCTAAAGAGTGGAGATTAATTACTTTTTGCTATGTTTTTATTCCTTTTCAGATAAAACCAAAAAGAAGACACAACTATTCATTTTAAAAGAAAGATCATGAACTTTCTTTTAAGGAAAAATAGGTATTATTAATCCCAACTATACCTGGTCCACTTTTAATAATCCCTACTGTTGTTTATTTCCGTGTACTCCCAACTTCCCCCACCCTTTTCCAAAAATAGACCCCCACCGGTTCTAATAAGTTATAACCGGTAAATTAAGTTACACGTGCCCCTCATGTGCGTTATTTAATAGGGAGTATAGATTAGAACTCCTCTGTCCTTGTTCTTGCATCCTGTTCGGAACCCTTCCCACGAATCCGAGGCTTTGTTCGCGACTGGTATACACAGTAAACACGGCCGCCGTTGTACGCGAAGGAGAAATGAGCTCGACGAATGGATCATCATCTGGGGGAGAAGGGCTGCAAGCAGTGGATTTTCAGTTCAGTGCTACCACAATATATGCTCCAAACCTAGATTGGTCAAAAACGGACCAAACACAGGGAGACAATTCTATGGGTGTGCACTATGGCCGGTAAGTATGCAATTACTCAGTTTGAAACATCTGATTGTTAAGTTTTCAGTTCTTTCAATTTTCAGTTTATTGTTGAGTTTTTTGTTGTGTTGACTTACAGAAAGACGATTGCTCTTACTTCCAATGGAGTGAAGGTATAGGTTTTGGCAAAGATGAGAAGAAAAATGATAAGGACATGTTGGTGGAGCAGCTTATGAAGGACAAATTGGCGTTAGAAGAGAAGATTGGTAGGCTGAAAGTTAAGAAAGAAAAGGTGGAAGCAAGAAATTTGGAACTGCATATATTGCTTATGAAGAATGCAAAAACAAAGACATTTGCTTTCATTACTCTTGTGCTGTCATGGATGCTGTTCTGTTCTGTGTTCTACTTGATGTAGTTTGGTAGAATAGGAAAATGTGGGTGTGTAGTTTGGAGTGTGTGTAGTTTGGAGCGTGTTAGTGTATGAGTATGGCACTTGATGTATTCAGAAAATTGGAGTGTCAAATGTGTATCTTGGAGTGTGAAATGTGTATTTGGTACATGTAATGGCACTTGTAGTCTGTTCTGATGTTTGACTCAGTCATGTAATGGCATAACCTGTTCTGTAAGATGTTTGGATGAAAGTTTACTTTTGAAATGCCTACTCTTGAATTTGAAGCAACATATTGTATTCAGAATATTAGGATGACAACACCCTGCTTCTCCAAGAAACTGTCTATTAAGGTTCATTGTCATGAATAGAGTTTCTTCCCTGACTTCGAACTTGTGAAACACAGCTGCTACTGTAAAATATATCCTCCATCTCAACCTCCACATGAGATTAAAGGGGTCTAAAACACACTTCAAACCAGTTTGAGTGAATTGCTAAAAATAACACATCATTGTACAAGCAATACATTACAACTTTAAATCAACACATCCTTGTATAAACTAGTAAAATACATGAAAGAAATACACTTAAAACTACATTGAGTAAACTCTGAGTCATTGAACCTTGAGTTCCCAGGTTCAGAAATCCAACATATGACCAAACACAAGTGAATTAAAAACTGAACTGAAAGCAGTACATAATTCAAGTGAATTAAAAATAAAGTAGTACACAAGTGAATTAAAAATACAGGGATGTGTAAATAGAACTTAACTGATTTAAAGTTCTATGACCAGGTTAAAGTAGTACTTAAATGATCCTGGTTACAAGTACTTAAATGAACCTGGTCATAAAAATAAAACAGTACTCTATTTAGGTATTTACCCAAATAAAACTTTCATGTTTTGTGTACTATACAAACTACATAAATGAACCTGGTCACAAATAAAACTTGTTATGAAAGCAGGGAAATAAAACAGTACTGCTTTCAGGTTAAAGTTCAATAAAGCAGTACTTAAATGAACCTGGTCATAAAAAATAAAGCAGTTCAGTTTGGTCATAGAACTTAAGTAAAAGCAGTACACAAGTGAATAAAAAAAGTAAAAACTACATTGACCAAACACTTAAATGAAGAGTAAATAAAGATACCCAAACATTGAGTCATTCAACCAAACATATGTCGTAAGAACTAAACAAGTCTCAACTCTGATAGAGTAGTACAATTCAACCAAACATATGTCATAAGAACCTTACAAATACAATTCATACTAATAAAGTAGGCCACACATTAAACATGCTACCGAAGTCTTAACATAAAATTAGGCCACAAATTAAAAATTTCACTCTACAAAACATATGTCACTCTACTGCTTCACTCCATTTCCTTTGATGAGCACCTTCTTGAAATGAAATAGGCTAAGAAGACCCTGCTGCAGAAGCCTCTGAAATATTTGTAGGACCACCATGCTGCCCAGGAGACTGTAAGCAAGAACAAAAGACATTCAGGAAAAATAGGAAACACTAAAACAATATAAATGTAAATGACATCCACTAATGTACTTACATTAGTCCAAGTGTTTCCATTCCCATCAATTATGACTCCAAATCCTACTGGAATCACTAGTGGAAAAACTGCATCTTGCAACTAGGATTTCATATGGGTTGAATGGACCCGTTATAGTTTCTAGGCACGGAGCCAAAATTGTAAATTCTAAAAGTTTATGGTGCTGTTAAAGACCAGATGGGGAAGATATTTATAATTGTTGAAAATTAAAGTTTAAAGCGGGGTACTTTTTATAATATTAAAAACTTTGTTTTCATACCAGTTAGAACTAACCCTTAGTGAAAATATTGAAAATAGAATCAGAAGTTCAGAACTCTCCCTCGCTCTTCTAACCTAGATGAACGATGGCGGCTAGCTGACTTCCTTCTACTCCTCAGGACCGAACACCGAACGGCCTTGTCTATTCACCCCGGAACGTTGCTGCCTCACCAGTATCTGTCGCCTCTCTCCACACCGCCTAATAGGACCTTGTCAGTCCCTGTTCACGGCTGAACGCAGCTTCACCTCTCTCTCCTCACCGCTAAAAGCCGCCTCCTCGTCAGCGGCAGCAGCTCTCCTCCCACCGCCGAACGTAGTTTCAACATTAGTAAGTTCCCTAAGAGCTCTTTTTTGTAAAATGCATTGTACCTTCTACTCTTTCTAGGTAAAAAGCATGATTTTGGTGTTTATGCATTTTTTTTGTTTTATATACATATTTATGTGAAGTTTGTTTGGTTCATGCATCTTTGATGTTTAGTTTACATACAAAATGAAATGGTTTATCAAAAAATTCGAATTTTTAATTTTAATTTTGAATGCTTATCATATGTTTATCATCTGTTTGTGGAATTTCCTGAATGATAAAGTTAATTTGGGTGGCACATATTCTCATTAGAAATAATATTGTGATTAACTTTCCAATATTTTTTAAATTAATTTTAGATAATGTCATAAACTGAAATACATACATACATATACATAACACACAGATGTATGTTTGTGTCAAAGAATGCATAGTAATTAACATCTTTGGACAGAAAGTATAAATATGGGTTGCAAATATAGAAGAGCAGTGTGCATAATTAGAGTATCACATCTTGACTGTCTTAGCCTCTCTGTTTTCTTCAAAGTATCTGAGAAAACTCTCTAATAGTTTCCTTTGAAGAAACCCACTTCTTTTTCAACTTAGTTGCCTCACCTTCTTGAGTTCTTCTCAAAAAATGGCTCGGGGGAGTGTCACTCTTTTATTAATTTTTCTTCATCCCTCTCTATTTACAGTCTTACACTCTTTTATTAATTTTTTTTTTGTTCTGTTCGTCAACAGTTGGGAAATTGGGCAAGTGGTTCTGGAAGATTACATTCCAGAACTTCTATCACATTTTGTTTGAAGATATTTTTTTTAATTTATCTTAAGTTTGTGATGCTAAGTGCTTTAATTAAAAAATTACATATAGGTATTAATATCTTAAAAGCTTTAAGTTTATATATATATATATATATATATATATATATATATATATATATATATATATATATGCATGGTATCTTTGCCTCTAGGATCTTACGATCCGAGTTACGATCTCCTAGCCCCCTTCCGATCCGATCTAGGATCTCGGGTTTAACAACCTTGCTTAATAGCCAAATCAAAGTAAGACATTTTTGTGTATGAACTAGACAAAAATTCCAAACTCCTCCAACTGGGTAGAACACCTCATTCCAAAATCGTTTATCTAGCAATTTAATTTCCTCAATCATGTCTCTTTCTAGGTTCAACTCTTTAAGAACATTTGAAAGACTCACATCGTAGTGCTTACAATAATAATGCAAGTGTTTGTAATATAAAGTGAGATTAACAATATTTTGTATATTTTTTAAACTTAAATAAAAGAAATGTAATTGCAAGAAGTATTCCAAAACAGGCTGAATATTCTTTGTTAAGTGAAATTTAGTTTTGGCTAGAATGAATGTTTGTCTATTATTACTAACATATCATTTTTATAGTATCTAGTTTTATGAATGTTTGGGTGGTAGGAATGTCCCGCTAGTGTAATAGTTTTGCATTCGTATAGTCTAGCATGAATGTCCTACTATCTTATTATCTCATTTTTATATTTATTGTTTGAGATCTAAATTAGTTTTCCTTCTATTTTTGTGTTCGCATATATTGCAGACATTACGATAACTATTATGGATCGTAGTTGGATTAACTGTAAGCGAACAAGTGACGAGTATGAAAATGGCATTGAATCTTTTCTTCAGTTTGCTAAAACACATCTTCCTAATAACAATGGAAAGTTTTATTGTCCTTGTGTGAACTGTTTGAATGCCATACAGTTAGATGTTAATCTGATACGAGAGCATGTCCTTTGTGATGGATTTTGCAAAAATTACACGATATGGATATGGCACGGGGAACGGCTAAACATGCATAGCACGTCATCTCATAAAGAGGAATCTTGTGGAACAAACATGGGTGATCATTTGGAGGACATGATACGTGATGTTGGCACAGAGCTTTTTAGTCGATCTCATGTTTATGATACGTTGTGTGGTGATTCAGAGATACCTTTGTATCCTGGATGTACTAAGTACACACGATTAACGGCTGTGTTACGATTGTTCCATCTGAAAGCAAAGAATGGGTGGAGTGATAAGAGCTTCACAGAATTGCTTGTGTTGTTGAAAGATATGCTACCCGAAGGGAATACATTGCCGAACCGCAACTATGAAGCAAAGAAAATATTGTGTCCCATGGGTATGGAGTATAAGAAGATACATGCATGTCCTAATGACTGCATATTGTATAGAAAAGAGTATGAAGATTTGCATAAGTGTCCGAGATGTGGATTATCACGCTATAAAGTCAAAGACAACGATTCCGATGAAGATGTAATTAACACATCTGGTTCTCCAGCCAAAGTTTTATGGTATCTTCCAATAATACCAAGGTTGAAGCGACTTTTTGCTAACCAAGAAGAAGCAAAGAACATAAGATGGCATGCCGATGAGAGGAAACGCGATGGCATGATTCGCCACCCGGCGGATACTATTCAATGGAAGAAAATTGATGGGTTGTTTCCTGATTTCGGTAATGAGGTGAGGAACCTTAGGCTTGGACTAGCTACAGATGGAATGAATCCTTACGGCAACTTAAGTAGCATTCATAGTTCATGGCCTGTCCTCTTGATAATTTATAACTTATCTCCATGGTTGTGCATGAAGCGCAAATATATGATGTTGTCTTTGTTGATTTCGGGTCCAAAACAGCCCGGTAATGATATAGATGTTTATCTTAGTCCCCTTATTGAAGACCTAAAAAAACTTTGGGAGGAAGGCGTTGAAGTGTTTGACAGGTATCGAAATGAGCATTTCAAGATGCGAGCCATATTGTCCTTTACCATTAATGACTTTCCCGCATACGGGAATCTTGCCGGCTACACTATTAAGGGGCATAAAGCATGTCCAGTATGTGTAGAGGACACGTGCTACCATCAATTAGTCCATGGAAGAAAAACTGTATATCTTGATCATCGAAGGTTTCTTAGACGGGATCATCCATACCGTAGATTGAGGAAAGCTTTTAATGGGTACAATGAGAATAGATGTTCTCCAACCCCCTTGACCGGAGAACAGGTTTATCAACGAGTGAAGGACATCAATGTTGTGTTCGGTAAATCAAAAAAAAAACTACTGATACACGCATATGGAAAAAGAGGTCAATTTTTTTTGATCTCCCTTACTGGCGCATGCTTGATGTGAGGCATTGCATTGATGTGATGCACGTAGAAAAAAATGTGTGCGACAGTATAATTGGGACGCTTCTAGACATTCCTGGGAAGACAAAAGATGGTTTGAATTCTCGTCTTGATCTAGTAGAGATGGGTATGCGAGAAAACCTAGCTCCACAACCTCAAGGTAAGCGTATGTACTTACCTCCGGCTTGTCATACTTTGTCTAAGAAAGAGAAAATCAGTTTTTGTGCGTGTTTGCATGGTGTAAAAGTTCCCCATGGCTACTGTTCAAATGTGAAAAGATATGTGTCAATGAAGGACTTGAAGTTGGTTGGTTTAAAATCTCATGATTGCCATGTCCTGATGCAACAATTATTATTAGTTGCTATTCGGGGCATTTTACCCGAGAAATTTAGGATGGCACTAACGAGGCTATGTATGTTTTTTCATAATATTTGTGCCAAAGTCATTGATCCTCAGAAGTTGGATGACTTAGAAAATGAGGCAACGGTTATACTCTGCCAGCTTGAAATGTTCTTCCCCCCTTCTTTTTTTGACATCATGGTTCACTTACTAGTTCACTTAGTAAGAGAGATAAGATTATGTGGACCCGTCTATTTAAGATGGATGTATTCAGTAGAACGGTACATGAAAATCCTGAAAGGGTATGTAAAGAATCAACACCGTCCAGAAGCATCTATTGTTGAGCGTTACGTAGCAGAGGAAGCCATTGAGTTTTGTACAAACTATATGTCAGAAGTTGAAGCTATAGGGCTTCCAAAGTCCCCTCATGAGAGAAGATGTAAAGGTGAGGGTACTAGAGGCTTAACATGTAAGAGTATGAGTAGGGAGGATGTGTTTCAAGCGCATCTCTATATACTCAACAATTCTGAAGAGGTTCAACCTTATTTGCACGCTCACAAAGCTCTTGTGAAACAAAAAAATCCACGAAAGAATGAAAAATGGTTGTTGAATGAACACAACAAGACCTTTGTGAAATGGTTCCAAGAGCAAATTTTGAAAGAGGCTAACGTCTGTGATAGACTAAGATGGTTTGCAAATGGAATATACTTTGAAGTCATGTGTTGGGGTGGGTATAGCATCAATAAATATTCGTTTTGTACAAAATTCCAAGATGATAAGAGTACTATGCAAAACAGTGGGGTGATGGTTGTGGCAGAGGCCATGCACTTTTCAAGTGCAAAAGATAAAAACCCAGTTTTGGCATCAGTGTCTTACTATGGAGTTATTGATGAGATTTGGGAAATTGATTACACGGGGTTCAGAGAGGTTGTTTTTAAGTGCAAGTGGGTAGACAATAAGAATGGTGTAAAAAACGATGCACTTGGTGTTACATTGGTGAATTTGAATTCATTAGCGTACACGTCAGAGCCTTTCATCATGGCATATCAAGCTAAGCAAGTGTTTTACGTGACTGATCCCTCCAATACAAGGTGGTCAGTGGTTCTTCAAGGAAAACACCTATCTGTGAATGATGAAAATAGTGATGACATATTTGAGATACCGCTATCTACAACAATGCCTATTGCATTTGATGATGATGATGATGAGTTGGACAGCATACATGCAGCTCGTGAGGATCATGAAGAAGGAATATGGGAGAATATTCCTGTTGGTGTTCTTACTTGTTAACTTAAGCATTTTTTTCATTTATTTTCTGTTTATTTATTTCGATACTTATATATTTATTATTTATAATGTCAATACTAATTATAGATAATAACTATAAATGTTATGTATGTAAACAGGAACATGAATAATCAAGAGGGAAGTGGATCAAACAACAATAATAGAAAGAAAAAGGGTAGAAATCCCACAAAGTTGAAGGCTTTGATCCGTAGCAGGGCAGGTAATTCAATTTTCTTGATTTATTATACATAATTATTGCCATTGCCTACTTTCTAATTTTCTGTTTCATTGCAGCTAATAGGACACTACCTATCGATTTTAATAAAGATGGGAACGCAGTGGGTCCAAATAAGAATTCATTTGTTAGTTTTGTGGCACTCGAGGGAAGGATGAGAGCTAATATACTAATCCCTAATTGGGAAGCTGTTGATGAGGGAATTAAAAATCAGATTTGGGAGGCCATTAGGGTAACTATTTTAATTTCATGTTCTGTTTTCCAGGGAATGCCTTTAATAGTTTCTTTTTCAAGATTACGTCATAGTTTAATTCATAACTATGAAGCTATATTTAGTTTGAGCTTCATAGTTTGAGAGAATGAGTTTCTTGCAGAATCTGAAGCTATATTTGAGAGAATGAGTTTCTTGCAGAATTTGGTTTCTTTTTCCAGTTTGAGAGAATGGGTTTCTTGTAGAATCTGAAGCTATATTTTCATCACGTGTCTCAATCTCATTTTTTTCTGCTATTTGAGCTGAAATATAACAGCTCATTATCTTAATTGAATTAATCTTTATGTATGTAAACTTTATTCTTAAACTGAATTAATTAAACTGTATTGTAGCTCACTTTCGACGTTCCTAATAGTCATGAATTGAGGAGAAAATGGATATCATATGCTGGTAACCGCTGGACAGGATTCAAGACGTTTTTGACATCATATTACATATATGGCAGTCGGTGTGGCGAAAACCCCACAGAAAAGTATCAATGGATAGATGCTGTGACTTGGGAGCAATTTGTGCAGAGTAGGAAAGATCCAGCTTTTCTGGTTAGAAAAGTGTTTAAAGTTGCATGAAAATATTCATCTAATTTATTATTTAAATGTGTTAACTTTGTGTTATGCATGTCAACCAGGAGCGCAGGAATAAGGCACAAGCAACCCAAGCTCATAATGAATGCCCTCACATATTATCTCGGGGTGGATATGAATTGTTAGAGAAAAAACTGATGGATGAAAAATTAAAACAGCGTGAAGAAGCCTCTCAAACTGACCCTTCATTGGGGCTGAAACCTCCTTCTCCCATAGGTCGGCATGTGAAATGGAAGGGAGGCCGGATCAGACGAAAAGGCGGTTATACATCAAAGAGGTCTCGTGAAATTGCAGAGAAAATTGTAAGCCAAAGATTTCTCCTGTTTTTATTGTTAAGTACAAATTGACTTGTATAACTACCTTAAAAGGGTTGTGCATTTGTGGTTTACAGGATTCTCTAGTTGAGGAGGAAAAGCAAGGGACATTTACTCCCACTGGTCGTGATGATATCCTAACAGCAGCGACTGAACGCCCTGAGCACCCAGGTCGTGTCCGTGGCGCCAGAACAGGTGTTGGTATTCTTTCACACTTTGGACCCTTAGCACGTCAAGGTCATAGATCCACAGTTTTGACCATGAACGATGTTGAACGGATCAAGAGGGAGATGGAGCAGGACCTCACACAACAAGTAACGCAGAAGGTCACACTACAAGTAACACAACAGGTTACACAACAAGTAACGCAACAGGTATCTGAGCAATTGTCACGAGTATTTGCTAAGCAACTTCAAGATGAACTTAAGAGGATGGGTTTAACCCAACAGCCAGAACTACACACAGAGGCACGCCGCACTCGCTCTCCCACAAATGTCAGTACAAAGGGGAGCAATGCTTTAGGGGATATGTCCGATTCAGATGATGATGATGAGTTATCCCGTCTTTATGTGGATAACCCTTTTCACTTAGTGGCCATGGGAAAGGTATGCTAGTTAAGCTTTAAAAATTTCTGCATAGCGTAATTCTAAACGATATAATTCTGAAATCTTAATTAGGTACACAATTTGGGTCCTACTATACACCATCGGAGAATCGATGCGGGTATTATCAGGGTGGAAGTTGTTGAGGTTTTTGATGCATCTGCATTTGTCCCGATTCCAAGTGAGGAGGTCCAGACAGTTGGACAGGCCTCCAACCAGTTCATTCCATGGCCAAAAAGATTAGTTGACCCTCACGTAGAGGAGAAGAGGACACATGGAAAGGTAGAAATAAATACCAACACTTGTTATAGGACAATTTTTACTTCCTGTCGCATCTTGGTATATTGAGCGTCATAATTTTATGATGTTTTACTAAAATATTTTAGGATAGTGATCATGATATTAGTGAAAAAAATGATAGTAAAATTTAGGTCTTGAACTGCTCCAATATTAACAAGTCTTTTATGATATGTCCTATATCAACATAGTAGAAAAATAATAAAAAAAAGTCACAGTGATAGTGCCAACATATATCCTCCATCTCTGTTTTTGTTTGTGTAGGATAATGATGATTGTGACAAGGACGATGCTTCGGGTGAGCACAAGGGTCCAATATCGCGTTTGTTGACAATGACTACTCACATTGGTCCACAACCTATAAAGTTAATCCTAAAGGAAGAAATAGTTGGTCGGACTGATATATCCCTTTTTGTTGGCTCAGAAGAGATATTAGAGATATGTTTGGGGAATCAAATGCTAAGTGCAGTTATTCTACAAGTATGGATAATGTAAGATGATTTTTTTTTCTTTTCTCGTTGTAGTTCTGCTATTAATCTTCTATGGAAGATGGCAGTTTCTTAAACTTTTTGTTATACATTAATTATGATTAAATTTACAGGCATTTGCATGGGATATGTGTTCGAAAGGATAATACACATCTTTACGGTTTTTTTGACCCACATACCATTCAAGATATAGGGAACAAGCGTGAAGATATCCAAACTTATATAATGACTCACTTGAATGAAGGAAACAAAGAGTGCTACTTGCTACCATACTACTATCCGTAAGATATTTTATCTTATTTTATTATTTAATTCTCATTTACGGTATGAATTCTATCCAAAGACAAAGTTAACACCATTTGAAGAAGAGAAGAGTAAGGGAGTGCAAGAGTGATTTTTTGCCAGGTGCATTCCTACCATTAAACTGTCTGATATTAGGGCTGCCATACCTAATCATTTTTATTTACATATCATTTGAAGTCAATGAGCTATGTGCTTAGGGTTTGGGGCTATGTTTGACTTGGTAGTTGCATTTGAAGTCACTGGCCGTGTGTCAAAAGGTTGCATTTATTAAATCTGCTCTTTTGTGACAGTAGCAGATAAACTTCCCTTGTCTTTGTTGGGTTAAAGATGATTAATTTGTAGTCAAAGATTACTTTTTTCCTGAACTAATTCAAGTTGTGACCCTGTTTCATTGCAGCAACCATTGGCAATTGCTTGTGTTGTGTCCGAGAAAAAATTTGATTGTGTTCTTGTGCTCTTTGGGGAACAAACCAAAGGCAAACATGAAGAGTATTCTAGATTTGTAAGATATAATTTTAGTAATATTAAATTGGTGAATACATGTACTGTTTCCATACGTATAACATGACTTGTTTTTGTTTTCATTAGAGCGATGCAAGCACATCAAATGACAAAAAATAAAAGGAATTCCAAACCTAAATGGGTTAAGCCAATGGTAAGTGCTGTTTTTATTTATCTTCAAGCAATATACGATGTGTGTAGTCTATTTTTTGTGTTATCTATTATATATAGTAGATAGTGAAATCTGTTCATATTAAAAAATACATTTTTAGCTTCGAGTTTGTTGATTTTATTAGTCAAGGTGCAATCTATTAATTCAATTTGAAGTTTATTAATTCAGTTTGCAGCTTATAATGTTTGATTATATTGAATTAAGTGAAGGGATAAGATGAATTCTGTTTTGTCTTGTACAAAAAAAATACATTTCAAATTTTCACTTTATTTAATATTTCCTCTTTTTTTCAGTTTGCACTTTATTAGTTTTCTAGTTTGCAGTTTATTGGTATTTCAGTTTGTAATTTTATTGATTTAAGTTTCAGTTTATTTAATCAAGGCTGTGTTGTTGTTCATTTTATAATATGTAATATTATTGACTTGGTACTTTTAATTATTTATAGTGTCGAATGCAAAGGGGAAGTTCCGAATGTGGTTACTATGTGATGCGGCACATGTCAACTATTATTTCTGCTAGTGTTGTGGATTCATGGATGGAGGTGATTAAATATAAGATCATTGTATTTTTGTGTTTATTTCTTCTACTTAATTATTATTTACTCGCTTATTGCTTTTATTCAACTTGTAGACATTCAACGTTCAAGATCCGTTTACTGAAGAAGATATCAACGAGATTCGAGAGCGTTGGGCTTGGTTTTTCTGCGAAGTGACTAGTATTTAGCATTTAGTAGAAAATATTATTAACATATTTAAAACCGAAATGCAGCTTTGTTAGCAACTTTTTTGAATTTTGATGGTGTAAAATGATATTGTGATCAAATTTCCTGAGCATGATTAATACTAAATTGAAATTATATGCGTAGTATGATTTTTGTATGTTGTGGTTGTTTGTGAATGACATTGAATGATCATTTTGTAATCATAAATATGTATTAGATATATATCAGGGTGAAACCTCATTCAATAACGGTTAAAATTGAACTGATCTCGATATTCCATAACGGTTAGGTTTCGCAACCCATATGAAATATCCGTTACTAAGATGCCGCGTGCAGAACACATTCCATAACGGTTCTGCCACACCCGATGTTGAAAGCATTTTATAACGGTTGTCGTACCCGTTATGAAATATCAATGTCGGCTCCCGAACCGTTATAAAATGTCATTTTTAACCGTTATAAAATGTGTTTTTTCCACTAGTGAATGTCACCCCTTCCTCTCCCCCTTGCACCTTTCCCTCCTACACCTCTTCCTCTTGCATGGATCAACCTTCCTCCTCTCCCAAGTCTTGAAGGTTGTGCATTATTTTGATTATTATCTGACTGTGTTTGGGCAGGTTGGATAACCTTTTTTGGTCTTCCCCTCATCCTCTTTACTGGAGGCTCAATTGCCTTGTTTTTATCAGGGCATGTTCTTTTATTATGATTCTTGGACTGACACACACTACATGACATCTCAACACCATGTTTTGTTAATTTTCCAGGCTTTTTGGGATTTTCATGAGGTGACTTCATCCTGTTTTTCCTTGGTCTACCTGGACCTATTTTTATAGGTGGAGGATCCAAAGGCATATCTACCTTTGGCCAGTGTCTCTCTCCAGTCAAAGGTGCAATTCCAGTTGAATACATCCTCAGGTAAGCCTCTTTAGTGTAGCACTCATGGACATAGTTTTCAGGTGCATCATTTTTGAAGAAAATACAAGCAATAGCATGACAACATGGTATCCCACTCAAGTCCCATTTCCTACAGGTGCATGTTCTAGCTTCTAAGTTCACTGTCAGACTATCTAGCCTATGACAAACTTCAAATAAAACTTCACTAGATGGTAAAGGTGTGCAATAGGCTGCCTGATCCTTTTCCTTCTCTAGCCTAGCCTTAATCCTAGGACATATGACACCCACAGTTTTTTCCATTTGCTGCCTCTTTACAACCATCCTTTGCATCAATGCACCTCTAATGTATTCTAGCATAAAAATCAAATGCTTAGTTCTAGCATTTATTATGTAACCGTTAAAAGTTTCAGCCATATTACTCACTATAACATCACATTTACTTGATGTCCTAACAAATGCTCTGCAAAACAAATTAGGTGTGCATAACCTAAATGAACTGGCTGCTACAGGATTCACCTTGCTCATTTCATCCAAAGCTTCCTCCAAATCTGCCTCATTGTATGCTTTTGCAGCTTTCCAGAATAACATTTTAAGCTCATCCCCTTTGTGACTTTTGTGCCAGTTGGCAAACACATGTCTGGCACAATGTCTGTGCTCAGCCATTGGAAATACTTTGTGCACTCCACGCAATATAGACTGTCATAAGTTAATTTTAAGGTTAGGTACAAGAAATAAACAATAACATTCTGAAATACCTAATAAATATGTACATATTTAAACACACACACACATAACTTCACCTGGTGTTCATCAGAAATGAATGTCATATCAGCACCATCAGTACTGCCTAAGTTCTTTTTCAGTTCACAGAAAAACCATTCCCAACTTGAGTTATTTTCACCTTCAACTACAGCCCAAGCCACTGGGTACATTTGGTCATTGGAGTCTCTCCCAATAGCAGATAATAACATCCCACCCAGAAATGTTTTTATGAAACAACCATCCACACACAAGACACTCCTGCCTCCACTCAACCACCCATCTTTAAGTCCTTTAAAGCACACAAAGAATCTCTGAAATGTTGGGGGGAAACTCTTGATCATTGGGTCTGTGAATACCTTGAAGTGGCTAAGGGGGTTTGCTTGAGTTAGAGCTTCCAAATATCTTCCAATCTTATTGTAGTGCTCTGCCATACTCCCATAAAGCTTTCTATGGGCATGGTATTTAACTTTGTATGCAAAATCCCTCTTGACTAACACTTTGTAAGCTCTCCTGATTGTTTCCATAATTTCTTTTGCAGGCCAGTGTGGTCTAGACTTGAAGACCTCCAAAAACTGAAGTGCTACCCAGGGTGCCTTTAACTGTCTATTTTTTTTTGCATGTTTCTGTTGCAATTGTGAGCTCCTATTACAGTTTTAACTACAAAACAGGCTCTTCTACTATCCCAGCTTGCATACAACCTAAAGGAGCAGCCTTCCACACATCTTGCACCAATCCTTTGTTGTCTCTTCTTGTGGCTAACATTTATCTTCAAATTCCTACCTTGGGCTATTGCAAATCTGGCTACTGCATCTTTAAATTTATCCCTATTTTCAAATCTCATGCCAGCTTTCCAAACCAGTTCTTTGAAATCTGTATTGGCATTTACTACTGCAACTTTGTCTCTCTTTCTTCTTGATACAATGTCATCTTCTTCACTCTCAGGGGGTGTGTGGATTTCTTCAGCTGATTCCTCATAGTCACTAACACATTGAGGTACATTTTCTTCCTCCTCCCCTGTTGTATTTGAGGGTGTCTTACCTTCAACTTTTGATGCAGCTGCTGCCTTTTGGAGTTCTTTGGTTATCTCAAGGATCTTAGAATTCCAACCACTTACTCTTCTTCTTGACTCTCTAAACTCTTCATCACTGGTATCCTCATCGGAGCCAACTAGTGGGACCTCTAAGTCGTCAGCATCTTCACCTTCAACATCCTCTGAACTTTCAGAATTTTGATCACCAATATCCTCACCATCTAGTACATCTTCATTTGTTGTGTAAGAATGGTGTTGGGATTGTTGTGAACTGTATGTTTGTGGTGCCTTCCCACCTGGGTCAGTACTCCCCCCTGCATTATCTCCAGAACCCTCAAGTAATAGTACCAATTCAGGCGAGCTTAAACCATGTCTTATATAGCAATCAACGATTCTATATTCAATAGCAACCTTGTACATTTCCCTCACCTCATCATCAAATTTAACCCTTCTTAAACCCTTGTCAAGACTCTTTCCCGGAATCAAGTAATATATATCATCTATACTACTATATTTTCCACATTTACCCGCTAATTCTTCTAGCCAAAACCAGCATAACTCATCAGCATCAATATCAAAGCATTTATACTCACCCTTTTCATATTATAACATGTTTTGACTATTCTTCTTAAATATACCTCCATGCCACATCTTAATTGTAATAACAGTTGAAGAACCCATCTCAACTGCAGATTGTGAAGTATAACCTACAAAATTAAATGAAGAAAAATCATATAAGAATGCATCCCACAAATCTGCCACAACCAGTTTCTTTGGCTTTTGGGAAGTCACTAACATTACACACAACCAAAATTTAGGGTTTTTACAGATAGTACCGTTTGTTATGGTCGGAGGAAGGTGTTGCTTGCTTCGAACGGCTAATCTCCAGCTGCAAAGGAAGTCATATTCGTGCGAGAAGATAGGTTGGTTGGATAGAAGAGGTGGATAAGGATTAACTGCGGAGGGGTAGGTAACAGGTTAGATGTGGTGTACCCGTTTGTTTAAATGAAGCGTTTACCGCTTCTACCGGTCTCAAGTGTGGGGGTCTATTTTTGGAAAAGGGTGGGGGAAGTTGGGAGTACAGGGAAATAAACAACAGTAGGGATTATTAAAAACGGACCAGGTATAGTTGGGATTAATAATACCTATTTTTCCTTCCTTCTTTTAATAGGTGTCTTTTGGATTAGAGACTCCTCGCCAGAGCTCTATAAATACCCGCCTTGTCTTCAATTTTGGATCATCCAAAATCCGCAAAACAATTCCTCCACATTCTCTCTTCCTTCGTTGCATCTTTGAGTTCGCCGGAATCCCGTTGGGAGTGAAAAACCGTTCTATCCTCGAAGACGCTTGCTACGTGTGTCGGACAAAAATGTCTTAAGGAAACAACGCTTTTGTTGGGCTCGGTTGATACAAGTATACCCTTTTACTTCTAGATTAAATTAAAATATTGCATGCAAAATTTCCATTAACACTCGGTACAGAGATTTGAATTAGGAGTTAGGACCTGTTACTTAAGTATAAATAATTATATTCACTTAACAAAATAGGACTCTGGTTCACTCACTTAAATGAGCACTATCTTTATTTCATAGTATAATGGTGATTCAGGAGGAGGCAAATAACATAAGCCCCTGAGTGATCGACGCCTGAAGTCAATCTCTCAAACATTCAAACACGACAAACATTGCCAATCAAAACTTGGTCGATAAAACCGACAAGTAATACATGTTGGGGAAAACATGCATGACCCCTCGGCCCTCGACCTCTTCCAGGATCACGAACTCAAAGGAGTCTTGTACATTCACCGACCTACTGGTATTACAAAGGTTTCAACCGGCAATATCACTTTGTATTATATAATTGAAATGTGCAAAAGATATTTTACAACTAAATGGGTAGCTCACATCACTCTTTGTATGTGGAGCTACTTCACTCTACACTTCTCTCTCAAGGAGGCTCTCAATCACTCAAGAGTTCTCTTTAAGACTCTCTCTCTCTCTCTCTCATCACTTGAGGAGACTAACTCAAGGCTCTTGCAAAGCTCTCTCTTATGAATGAGTAATCTCACCCCTATTTATATCAATTTCCTCCAAGCTTCTCTAGAACTTTCTATATACCAATACACTTCTAGAGTCTTCCAACAAGTATCCACAAGCTTCTCTAATCTTCTAGAAGGATCTAGATAACTCCACACTGCTTCAAAATGTTCTAGAGTCTTCGACACACTTCAGCACAATTCTAGAGAATTCCACACTTCTCTAGAAAGCTTCACAATGTTCTAGAATATTCTACACTATTTCACACGCTTCTAGATAATTTTACGCCTCTCTAGATTCTAGAACATTCAATACTTCTCTATGTTAGGATTTAAACACACACAATACGAAAAACAATATGAAAGACACAGAGTTTGGTGACCTAGTTCGCCAAGAATAACTACGTCTGGGGGCGCTACCAAGCAAAGATGTTACTATTATTTTCTGATGATAATTACAAGGAGAGAGCATGTATTTATAGAGAGCAAAACCTAACAAAACAATGAAATAACTCGCGGCCCATATTACTAAAGACCCAAAAAATTTCGGAATGTGCATGGTTATACAGTCTCTAACACCTTACACTCTACACTCATATTGAGAATTCTAGACATCTCCACAAAATTCTAAAATTCTCATGAACCTCTCAATTAAGGAGGGAACCCAACAATACATAACGCCTAAACATCTCTAGGAATGAAACACATAAACTAACTTGAAAATATTGATTTTTTTTTTAAATAAAATTCTAATAATTAATTAAGCAAATCATTAGCCATAAGGCTTACAATAAATAAAGGAGCATCGAACCAAACTCTACGATCAGACAAAGAAACGACAACTCTAGCAAACTTATGAGCTACCCGATTCGCAGATAGTTTCACGTGTGAGACATTAATATTCACGTTAGACGTGATCATGACTCTAATATCATCTAAAATAAGGTCAAAGTAGGAGCTTCCTAGTTCTTCGGCTAGTCCAGAAACCACTTGAAGCGCATCTGTTTCCACCACAATTTTCTCCCATTCCTGTGATTTTGACCATAACAAAGCCTCCCGAATTGCTAGTGCCTCCATCTCTTTGACCGAGCATGTAGCAGGCCATGCATGGGCGGAGCTAGGGGAGGGCCATCCCTGGCCCTGACCCATCCCAAATTTTAAAAATGTCTGTATTTTTAGTGTAAAAAATTCTGTGTAAAAAATTTCAAAAAATATTGATTCAAAAAATTTTAAAAAAAATTGTATCGACCCAGTCTGGTCTAGTGCGCTAGCTCCGCCCCTGAGGCCATGGGGTTGAAGAACACGCCAGAAGTTGGCCAGCTGCGTTCCTGGCAATCCACACAAAACCTCTTTGGCCATTTCGATCATAGATCGCTGCATCGATCAGTATTCAGTTTAATCCATCCCTCATCTGGCCTTACCCAACGATCACACCCAACTCGGTTGTCTATAGTTCCAGTAGCTACTGGTCTTTGAGCAGCCCGCTAACCTGAGAGTAAAGCCTCCCCATGAGTTTAATTAAGAAGATGTTTTTTCATACTACGTAATTACGTATTTATCAGAATTCAGAAGAAAAAGATTTAGAAGAAGAGAGGAAAGGGAGAAAGGACTAGGGTTTTTCTCTTTGAAAGCTCCCTCAAAATGGAGAAGCGTTCAATGTCTACGACGGAGTACTTTTTTGCTCAATATATTTCCTCGCTTCATGCGAACTGCAATTTATATATACTCCCTCCGTCCCAATTTGTTTTGCAACGTCAACATTTTTTAGTCAACCAATAATAAAAGTCAAATCTTCTAATTGATAATTTATTCAATTTTTAATAATTAAAATTTACATATTCATAAACTACATTGAAATCTCTTCAAAGTTGTAAACTCCAAATCGGATTATAATTAAAAATTGACATCCTAATTAAGCGAACAAAACAGATCTATTTGACTAAGAAAAGTCAAAGTTGCAACTCAATTTGGGACGGAGGTAGTATTACGTATATTACTCCCTCCTATCCTTTTGTTTGGTACACTTATCTTTTTAGATGTATTTTTATTTTTGCTACACTTTTTTCGTAGACTTTCATTTCAAAAATATTCAATCACAATTGTTTTTTTTTTGTTTTTTATCTTCTCTTTCATACTTTTCCGACCTTGTCCAACTTCTTCTACACTTACCGCTATTAATTCCCCTTAAATATCTCAAACCTTATTGTAGCAAACATTAGAATACAGAGGGAATTTAACATAACGATAAGCATATTTAAGTATTTTTTTTATAGTTCCTTTGGGATATTTTCATGTCAGTTGAATTTTTCTAGTCTTCTCAATGGCGAGCTTACAAGATGTCACATCCTACATATATTCACATAATGAGTAATTACATAAATAAACAATTTCACAAATAATAAATACATCAATTAGTACATATGATTCGATTTATTACTAACACTAAAATGTTTTTGTGGAACTGGTGCAGTGGAATTCATAGTATCTGCATATACTTCCTGCGAACGCATAGACTCAAATATGGTGGAGTGAAAACCTCTCTGAATAAAAACTTTTTCCACATTTTTAATCAACTCATCCTACAACTTCTTCAAATCAGCATCACTTAAACTTTCGATCTTGCGTGAACTCCTTGGCTCCCGATCAAACACTTGTTTGTGGCACACACCGCCTCCAACACCGCGTACACGCCCAGGACAATCAGGTTTCTCAAAAACCTGGGAAAGACATCTTGCCGCCCATGTGGCGTCCATGTCCCTGTAGAATATGTAAAACATTGTAAAATATGTAAAATTTATACTTTTTTATACTCCCTCCGGTTCACATTAATCTTTACACTTTCCTTTTTTGGAAGTACCATATTAAGCTTTACACTTCCTTATTTGCCTTACAAATCTACACCAAACAGTGCAAAACAGTGTCAAACAGTGTACTCTATGTTGGAAAAATGTGTTGAAATTGCATTAAATGGTAATTTTGGGGCAATTTTTTGAGTGGGGTCCACTTCCGATTTGGGTCGGCTCAAAGTGGTTTCGGATTGTCCTTGTTAAAGGCTACAATTCTATATGTGGTACGCTCAAAACGGATAACGGGTGAATGAGAAATTGATTCTCGAAGTTTACCCATTAGAATGGGAAAACTGGGAAAAATGATGAGTTTCTAGTGTGTTATTTCCCACACCGGAAAACCCAAGGGATTTGCAACCCTTTATAAAGGGACTCCTTCCTTAAGGAGTTAAGATTCGTAAGGGTAAAGGCTCTCTCCACGCGCGCAGGGGGGTGTGCAAATCAAATCCCGAAATCAGAGAAGAAAAATCGCAACTTGCGTGCACGGGCGACCTGCGGACACGAATGTCGTCCAAAAATCTATCTCTCAAGAGATACGACAGAACCCCTCGTAGGGTGTTCTGTTGGGGGGTCTTCTAGACATTCTGAACCGTTACAACAATAAATGCCCAACGTTCTTATCTTTTAATGGACAGTTCATGGACGATTCAATGCCCAACGGACTATTCATTGATGTCCAACGTTCAGGTCCATTAATTCACCATTTACACACAACAAATCCTCCTATATAATGGCTGGCAGGTGGTTTGCAACAACACACGTTCATACACATTCCTCACGTATTTCTGAGCTCTAAAACACCTCCAGCATTCCGAAAATTTCCTGAGTGTTCATACTGTGTTCTCGTTCGCTGGAACTCTTGTTTGTGTGCTCAAACATTAGTTCGAAGTCATCGTATCCTGGGAAACGATTGTTGCAACGCTCCTAGCATCGTGGGAGGCAACAAATATGTTTTAAGGACATCGTGCGTAGCACGAGCTTTGACTGGTTTCTGCTCCATCTTATTTCAGTTTTCTTTCGTCATTTTAATTAATTTATTTTAATTATTTTTCTTTAAAATTTTCCAAAACACACCCTACACTCTACAGTAAAGTCAAATTTATTTCCTTAATATATGTGAAGTCAAAGTGTAAAGATTAATGTGAACTGGAGGGAGTATGAATTAAATGAAAAATATACACTTAGCTAATTGTTGAATTCCCACACCGGAAACGTGTGAAGGAATTAATTGCTATATTACGATCTGGATTACTCCTCCTATCAGGTTGACCTTTTAGGATGGAACCCCAGATCTTAACATAGTATCAGAGCCAAACCGATCCATGGTGTGAGTCCCCTTATGAAATATGATGACGTGATTATAAAAAAATGACAATGACGAATCGATGAAAAAAATGAATGACGGCACGATTCAGACGAAGTGTCTGGTCGTGAGGAGGGGTGTTGAATTCCCACACCGGAAACGTATGAAGGAATTAAATGTTATATTAAGATCTAGATTACTCAACCTATCAGATTGACCTTTTAGGATGGAACCCCAGATCTTAACACTAACTAATTTTCCTTTCTTCTTTCTCATGGCTTCGGTATTACTCGAAAAAGCTATTTGCCTTTCTTTCGTCAGTCCAGATCTAGCACAACACGAGATGACGTGTCTATGGATGTCATAGATGTACTCGACGTTGTGGAATCAACATGAGAAGTAGGGAGAAACTTATCTAACAGTCCTTGTTCTTTCCACTTTGGTAATGAAAGAGCATATCCCGACCGACCCATAAGACGAGGGTAAATGTTCTATTGAGACGCCTGCTTGTTTTGTTCGCTGATGCTTATTCAAAATTATATACATCATAAAATGTGCATCATAGTAGGTAATTAAATACGTAGTATATCTTTTCAATAAAATAGGTTTCAAATTATACCACAAATTCTGGAGTCATTGTCCTAGCAATAAATTCTTCCCAATCATATTTCGTCACAATGCCTTTATACTTTTCAAATGCTTCACCGCTGTCTTGTCCAACTAGACGTGTCTTATATATAAAGCCCGTCCTCAACCGACGTACTCCTGAAATCTCGGTGAACCTTTCCCATCTCTCTTAAAGTGATCTTGTACATCTTGTCATCAACAATATACGCATCTTACATTTATGATTCAAAAAATTGAATATTAAAATTACTAAGAATTACTAAATTAAATATTATGTGCATGAATAAAAATATTTACCCGAATCTCTTTCCACGTGTTTGGTAGAATGCATCACACGCACGAATATTAGAACAAAATTTTAATTAAAAAATAAAAACTATGCATCACTTTTATTGTAATACGCACCGCACACATGTTTTTTTTAATATTTCGAACTGGAAAGTGGCGCTTTAAAAGAATAATCACCACATGTTAAATTTCAGAAGGCACTTGTTAATTAAGCGCCGCAAAACGGGCGCTCTAAAATGAATGGTTTGAGCTTCATGAACAATGATGTATGATTTATTTAGTTCTTCAACCATACATTCTAACTCCTATCTTCATGATATTGATAGATTAAGGAGATGTTTGAAAGTGATTCTGTTTCTGCTTCTTTTCAAAAGTAGAAATAGAATAAGAATCGGTTTTCTGAAATTGGTTGCCCCCATATTTTCGAAACTGCTTTTAGGAGTAATCATGAACACTTAGAAGTACGTTTGCACTTTCACTTAAACACTCCAATGTTTTTAAAGGAGCAGAAACAATTTTAAGAAGCAGATTCAAGCACCCCTTAAGAAATAGATTTCAAGATTCAGTAAATGTCATTGAGACATTTTGAACCGCAATATTCGAGAAAAAGCTCAAAAAGATGGAGATTCCTTTTGATAACACATATTTTTAACACATGAGCTTTATTAGTCAACTCTTTTACCAAACATCTGATTTTTTTTATTTGAGAGCCTAAATTACGTAATAATCAAAATATGTAAGGTTGCAGTTATTTTTGTGGCTGAAAAGCCTGAAATTTGTATATATATGACCACTTTAACTATTTCCATAAAAAATTGAGTTTATTAGTAAAATATATTTTAAATATAATTTTCTATAATTCAGCCAATTTAATCGCTTCAACTAGAATTTCACCAGTTTTAACAGTTCTAGTCAATTAAGTTAGTTTCGTCAAATGGGATTTCAAAGTGTGACTCACACAAAGATATACTTCGTATATTTTTTTAGGGGAGTTCATTTTCTTAGAACTATGTAGTTATGTGTACTCGTAATTGCGTAGTGTTGAGTAGGTGATAGTACCACCAATCATCTAAGGGCATCGTTCCTCATCCATTTATTTATTCAAAGTTTAATTGGATGATGTGTAAGGTTATTTTTAAAGATTATCATTATGAGTGAGAGATTATTTGGGGACATTATTGTAAAAGAAAATTTGATATCATGATTCAAATCTCACTTTATTTTAGATTGTAGTTAAATTACATTTAATGCATGTTCTAGAAAAACTAAATATTTGAGTATCGTTGTTTATTTTTTGAAGAGGAAATCGCTTATATTGATATCATTAGAATCAATATCATTAAATCAATATCAAAATGACCAACACTGACTACAATCTTCACCTTCCATTTTTTGGATGAAATGTAAGTATATATATAAAACACCCAAAAAGTAACATATTACAATGTATCAAATCCAAATCAAAGCGGCTATCCAGGCTAGAATGAACTATCCTAAATAACATGCATCACAAAAGTAATAAAATTGGGACATCCCCCAAATCACCAAAGAAACTGAAATCACAAAATGCTTCATTAACCAAAGGTGAAGCTATGGCTAAGTAACTTCCTTCTCC